TTTTTCCCCCCCCCCCCCCCCCCCCGGCCGCTCGAGGAAACGTGGTCAATGGTCTAACAGCTAAGGCATGCAAAACATGAGTACTCGTCCCACAGGGAGGATAGCTGTACTGGGGCATAGGAAGTGGGATGAAAAGGCGCGAAGAGCGATCGACAGGATAGATAGTATAGGGAAATCGTTTTTGAGCCACCTTGGACAAAGTAGGAAGAAACGGTTGGCCATCGGTGATCGGTCTTGTGGGAACAATGCTCCGTCCCCTCGACGACGCATGGTCAATGGTCCAACAATTAAGAAATGCAAAAGATTAGTACGCCGCCGTAGCCCCCCCCCCCCCCCCCCCCCCCCCCCCCCCCTGGGGGGGTCCGTAGGATCGTCCACCTTTGCGCCCTCGGCGGGCGAGAGCACACTGCGAAGACCCATCTTTTGGGGAACCCTCGTACGAGAGGCAACAGCATGAGGCCTTGCAAACAGAGCACTCTGCTTCGGGAATGCCTCTTATCGTTGATTGGGTCATCGGGGTTGTAGGTGTCTAGCTGTTATCAGTAGCGGGGGAAAGAGCTCCGTTAGTGTCCTCCATACTCAACTATTTAGCTGAGTTAAATGCACTCGCAGGCATGCTTGCAACGTGGACTCGAAGCAGTGCTTTCCGCAGACTTCTTCGCTCACGCGAAGATGTTTACAACATATAGCTGTTCAGCGTGCTTCCGACAGTGTTGCTTACCTTTCCCCTCCACAGGCCCGCCACCCTCGTTTATTTTTCCTTTTTAGCTTGCGCGCGTGTAGCGTGGCTCAACGTGCTGTGTCTAGCATGTTTTTTTCCGGGTTCTTCGAAAGTTGTGTTTCTTCACGGCAGCAACATTGGTCTCAGCATCTCCCCGTACCTTAGATTGTATCGTTTGTGCGCAGTCTCCGGTAGACCTTCGACGCGTTTCGCTGTCTGCGCGCTGGCAACCGTGGCTGATGTAACCATGGTTTTGGCTTTTGCAGGAGGAAAAGGGGGAAGAGGAGGAGGAGGAGGAAGAGGAGGAGGAGGAAGAGGAGGAGGGAGAAGGCGGCGAGTACATGAGCCGCAACTCGCGGCTGATGCTCATGCTGGAAGACGAGCTGCCGAACTGCCACAACCAAGAGAGGGTGGACGAGTTTGCGGTGAGACGAGACGAGCCAAGAGGTAGACAAGGCACCCTTGATGTTTTTCTCGCGCGATTGTGGTTGGAATGGATTGGATGAAGATTGGGACGCCTTGATTTCAGCTCCGAGAACCGTTGTGATTGGATTGGGTTGGTTTCAAGACAGGCATTTTTGTGAGGTTACGAGTCGACATTGCCGTGAACACCGTGAGATAGCTTTTCTTCTATCGCATGGTACGTGTTTTTGTTGGACGTCGTGGGTGCGGTGATGGTGGTATGGCTAGTGTGTGCGGTCGTCGCTGCCTCTGCGCCCTCGTTTTTTCTCGTCCTGACACTCTGCAATCTGGTTTCTTCCCGTAGAGTCGGTACGAATGGGGATTTACTGTGACTTGCTTGACATTATTTCACGAGCTTACGCACTGAGTCATGTTACAATGTACGGAGTACGATACGTTCCATGCCTTTTATTTTTTGTAACGGCTCGGTCGCCCGTTCCGCCTCCTGTGTCCGTCCGACCGGCCTTTCATGAGCAGAAGAAGTTCTGCTACGTCAACAGCAAGTCGGCCAGAAAGAAGCTAGTGGCGGCGCTGTTCAACGTGCCAAGGCAGGCGCTAGACCTGCTGCCGATGTACGCTAGGCTGGTTGCCATCCTCGACCAGGTTTGTGGGGGAGGAGCGGGATCACAGAACAAAAAACAAATAAAAAAAAAAAAGTCCCTGTATTGAACCTTCTGTTTCGGATGAATGTCGGTTTGGGTGGGGGTGTAGTTCCCTTGGACATGCTTGCGGTTCGTGCGCCAAACGTTCCTGCTGTGTGACCCCGGCTGGTACGTCAAATATTTTTACCGAACAGGTGGAGTTAAAATAAAAAACACAGAAAAATACTCTGAGCATGGGTAAATATTGTGGCCATGTGGGATGGCATAACACCATTACTTGTGTCCTTTATCTCGCTGTCTGCCTACCACATCAATGGTGTTTCTATTACCCACACGGCAGTATGATGCATGCAGAGGGTAGCAATTAGGTTATTATTTTTTCACGTATTTCGTCAGCAAGTGAGACCGTTCTCCGCGTTGTGCCTAGTGAAGGGATGTACAGCTTCCGGCGTTTTTTTTTTTGTTCGAGATGTTGGCATTCGAAAAGTATCGTCATTCGGGAAGGTCAATGGGACGAAACCTGGTGATTTTCAGGGCTGTCCTCGTTGATTTCTCCGCGGTAGTTTTACTGCAGTAGAACCACGGGAATTACCGTTTCCCGCGATCCCGTGAAAAATGAGAATTACCGATCCCATCCAAATCGTTTCCGTGATGAATTGATTTTACCGTTAGCGCCCAAACCCGTTACCGAACAAATTGAAGTGCCCCATTACCGTACAAAAAATTACCGCGCAAAAAAAAAAGGAATTCCCGTGCTTTCGAGTTACCGCGGAGTATGGTACCGTAAGAGCAACACCATCCCATCTGCAGTACCGCACAGAAACACCATTGCATTGTTTATTGTTGAACCGTTGAATAATTCCACCGTTTCTCTGTGGATGAGGAAGGCGGCGCTTGCTTGTTGCCTGTCGTGCAGATGACATATTATTACTTGGCACATGATGGACTTGCTTTTGATGCCACCGGTGTGGTTGACGGACAGACGTGATGCTCGGCGAATGAATGTGTCGCGCACGTCTGGTGTGCAACGACCACACCCTTAAGGAAGACTTGAAAGCAAGCAAACGAAACAGGGCCCGACGTGCCATAGTGGTGTGGTTGACTGTGCAAGTTGTTATACCGTGTGTGGTGACCAGTTACGGTAGCAAAGGAAGCATATTTCTGTCATTGCTGCTGTGGGGACTGGTTACCGTACAAGAAAATTACGTACCGTGGTGACCAGTTACCGTACAAACATGCACATTCCTGTGCATTACCGTGGTGGCTGGTTGCCGTACAAAAAAATTACCGTGGTGACGAGTTACCGCACGGAATTAACCGTGGTGGCGAGATACCGCCCAAAAATTACTGTACTGTACTGTGCCGTGGTGGCTAGTTACCGCATGGAGCATGCCGTGGTGGCCAGTTACCGCCCAAAAATTACTGTATGGTACCGTGGTTTCTTGTTAACGCGGGAAATGATTCCGACATGCAAAACCGTTAACGAGGACAGCCCTGGTGATTTTGTTAATTTTCATGTTTTACGTACATGGTGTTTTTTTCTCACTCGAAAGTGCTTCCTGTTTCGACAACAATTGAGAACGATGTTATGGGGCACTCCCAAAGACTACTATCGTCGGATCCAGGGATGTACAATAGCTTGTGGGCTATTAACCTTTGGTGTAAGCCACCCTGTTTGCAACAAACCATACTCCCTGAATTTTTTTTCTGTGCGCCCCCCTCCTCCCCCAGGCTATGAAGTCAATCGCGCCCCTTCTCATCGAAGAGCTGAGGAGCCACTTCAGGTGCACCTACTGGTGTAGAATAATATTCTATTTGTCGTTAGAAACCCATCGGTGAATCACGTTTCTTACCGCCGTCTGTTGCACACGAAATCTGCGTCGAATATTCCTCTGCCGGCGGTGTATAACTGATGGAGCGAAAGCACACACGCACAGAGAGACGGTTAGCGCGGTAAATGTTATTTAGAAAGAAAACACAAAGCACACACTGGATCACTTGAATGATGGATCGGTACGGGGCGATGTCTATGCGGTACGGAACAGGTATTTCTTGCGGAAGAAGGCGCCAGGGCAGATCGAACACCGCATCAAGAATGCCCGCTTCATCGGAGAGCTGGTCAAGTTCAGGGTGAGGGCTGGCTGTAATGTACCTTAGCCCACGGAGTGAGAGGGGTCATGGGCGTAGACAGAATGGTAAAGAGGGAGAGACAGAAAGGGGAGAGCAATGGAGAACGTGAGAAGGTGGAGATAAGAAGATAATCGAGCGAGTAGACTAAATGGAGAACGAGCAAACTAGGTGGTCTTGGCGTGTACTTTCCGAACTTGCCACCGGTCGCCCCGGTGGTCTAGTGGTATCCTCGTAATCCGCTAGTCGCAGAGGTCGTGAGTTCGAATCCCCATGGGATGAAAAATTACGAAATTTGCGGGTGAAAGCGAAATATAGCTAAAAAGCTCTCGTGGGTACCAAACTTTGACGTTAGCACCGTTGACGAGGGAAAGGGACGGCTGAACCCTTCTCGCGATAATAATAAAATTCAGCACGCACCGCAGGAGGAAGGTGGGGCATGAAAAGAAATAAAAAGAAGAAAAAAGCCCTGGTGTTTACCCCCTCCTGTGTGAGCCTGGATGGTTGTAGTTGTACGAAAAACACACTGAAAAGTGTAGTACTCTACATACGCTGAAAAATGTAGTACACGTCTTACCACGAAAAATGGGGGGACTGTCGCCACAATAAATAGGACGAAAACACACACACACACTATTCCTTCGAGAGGAGAAAATACGGTGTTGTCTCCTCTATCGCGCCAGCTATGCTGTTGTTTTTTTTGCGACTATGACATGTTGGTTTCTGGTTGTAATACGGTATGCGGACGCCCTCGTCGGTTCTGTATATGTGCGTTGATGTTGTTGTTGCTACTGTTGATGCTGCTGTTGCTGCTGCTATTCTTGGTATCGTTGTTGGTGTTGCCAGGTAGCGCCTCCCGTGGTGGCGTTTCAGTGCCTTAGGTTATGCCTCGACGATTTCAGCTCCCTCGCCGTGCAGACGATGGCGGCCCTCTTGGAGACTTGCGGAAGGTGCGTTGGTACTCCTGTATGGTGGGCTTGCACACAGAGCGGGTGGCGGGACTACGGCATGGTAGGTACTGCTGGTTCTTTTTTAGGTAATAGACTATACATGCAATCTCGAAAGATACCCGTCCGAGATAATACGGTGTTGTATGCCCCAATCGAAAAGTTTTGTTCGAACGGAGGAACCTGTCGATCGGTTCCATGTAAAATGTGCAGGCATCAGGTGGTTTCATGGGGACCCGCTTGAGAATTGAATTAAAGTTGTCTTTGTGTCCTCGTGTTCAATGTTGGCGACAAGACAGACTTGCGGCACAGTGTTGGTGTGGTCCAGTGTTGGTGTGCTGTTCCCATGTCGTGCTACTGTAGGTTTTCTGGCCTCTGCTCGGCGCATGCCTCGTTCCCTACTTTTCCAAGACCAGTACCAGAAAAGCTCTTGTTTTGGGTGGTTTGTTTCACCGCCCCCAGCAACATGCCGGTCGCCGAAGCGATCGGAGCGAGGCAATAGCAACATGACAGGTGGAACGAATGAATGGTTGATGCGTGGTGGATGTTGCTGCAAAAAAAAACAAAAAACAGGTTTCTCTTCCGGCAGAAGCTTACCCACCAACGCACGCGGAGCTTCCTGACGGTGATGATGAAGCTCAAGAGTGCCAAGAGCCTCGACAAGCGCCTGGAGGCCGTCGTGGACAACGCCTTCTACACCTGCTGTCCGCCTGAAAGGTAACCCACACGTAGATACCGCTTTTTGTTGGAACGTTTGGTGGTGGTCGTGGTGGCGGTGGCGGAGGTGCACTTGCTGTCTCCCTGAAAGGTAACTCGTATGCCACGTGTTTTTCGACCGTCCGTGGCGATGGTGATCGTGGCGGTGATGACGTTACATCTGCTGCCCGCCCGAAAGGTTAACCATATGCCACTTGTCCTCTGGCGTGTTGTGGTGAGGATGATGATGATGGTGGTGATGATGGCGGTACACCTGCTGCCCGCCCGAAAGTTAACCCGTACGTACCACATGTTTTCGAACGTTTTGTGGTGATGATGTTGCACGTGCTATCCCCTTTCTTGTGTCCCGCAATTTCCAATACGTGTTGCAACACTCACAGAGAGACTAAGCCCGTTTGAGATCGTTCCCCAATCAAAGGGATGCGTTGAAGTATTCGGTGGTGGTAAGCATTCCGTGTGTCCGTGTTCCCTTGCGCCTTGGTGTTCTCCATCTGTTTTTCGTTTTGCGCTCGTTGTTAGCTCTAGGCTTGTATTTTTCGTTGTCAGTTTTCCGCCAGTGTGTTGCGGTGTTCCGTTGCAGAGCCTCTAACTTGGGAGATCGGGGGAGCGCCTTTACTACCTGCTGAAAGGCGGTCTTTTCTTTCACGGATGAACTCATTGGCGTCCGTTTGTATTCAAGCGAATCCGGTGATGTGCGGTGTAACCACACGCACCACCTATTGGAAGGAGTCGAAGGAAGGCCAGTAGTGGTAACCACTTGTTTTGTCTTCTCCGTGCGAGCTGGATCATGTAAGTCACTGAATCTGTCGTATCGTGTTTGGCGAGGTCGATTGTTGGTGGCCGAAGAACGCTTGGCGCTGCTGTTGGTTGTTGTTTTTGTTGCCGGTGCTACGGCAAGGCTTCCGAGAGAGGCCGCGGGCGAGGCTTCTTTTGCTCGATACATCAGACCTTCCCAACAACGACTTAGCGGAGCGAACCTCCATTCACAAGTTGTTGCGCATTGAGTCCACAGCTCGACAACAAACCCACACGAATGCCTCCGTCTTCGGATCGTTGTCGGGTTAAGCAGACAGCAGAGGGCCGCGAAGGTTAGGACTCCTCTCCAGCTGTACGTGCGACACCTGATGATGGACAAGCTGAGGGACGACCCGGACGTGGTGGAGGAGGTTATCAAGCAGCTTAGGAAGCTGCCGTGGCAGGTGGGGCTGCGTTACTTGGCCACGTGGAGTTCACAGGCGGGGTTTTCGACTAAGCGTCCGACTTCGACTTGGTTGTTTTTGGTATGCCGTAGTGGTTGAGGTGATGGGTGTAAGATGCTTTCCCGGACGTGGTGCAAGGAGTCATGTCGTCGAGATGGGTTTGAAAGGCAGCCGTAACCGTGGCAGATGGAATGACACACAACTTCGCCAAAAACAAAAAAATGCAGTCGAAAATGTGGCCATGACGTTTCTTTCCCCTTTTTTTTCGCACAGGCTATTGCTTTTCGTTTCTCTCTTGTGCCAGTTTTATCCTTGTTTGCTGCTGTCATGGCTTCATGAAGTCGCCGTTTAGTTGCCGGTGTGCGCACCCTCGCCTCAATGTCGGAGACAAGGACGACGAAGAATCATGCCCTGACCCAGCACAGTGTCCACGACCAAAATCAACACTACCTTCTCATGCAAGCCCCCCCCCCCCCCCCCC